TTGGTTTAACAATCAAACAAATTAAAAAAATACGTTCATTACAAATTAATCAATTTGAATGGGAATTAATAGAATCATTGTCCAATGTTTTAGCTCCATTTTATTTTGCTACGAAATGTTTATCTGGTCGTCAATATCCAACATTATCATTATCTTATTGGACAATTAATAATTTATATTTTCATTTAACAAACGAAAAACCTAATTGTCATTTAGAAAATGGGTTAAAAAATTTATTACTTGATAAATTCAATTTATATTTTATAACAAATGTTACACGTGAACAACGATGTGCTAAATTAGTAAGTATAGACAAGTGAACAATATCTCATTTAGTATGTAAAGTTATCGAAAAGCATGCAATAGTCAATATTTAAAATGTCTAAAGTAACATCATGTGTGACTATCAACAGTTTTCATCAACGGTGCACACTTAAAGATAAAAAAGGAATACCTTCCTAAAGTATACTGACAAAATTTAATTCAGATTCATCTAGAAAATGAGATTCTAATGTTTTGATTTTGTATAAAATAATTGAAAAAAGTCCATTTAAATTGAGTAAAATGTTTTTATTTCTTTACTGTAGATTGCTGCATATCTAGATCCGTTCACACTTTCAGATTTATCAGTCGAAGAAATAAATGAAGTTGAATCAATGCTGATGCGTTTAACAAAAGATATTTCTAATTCAAAGAAATCAACAACCAGCATTTCATCAGAACATGTACAATCACAATCAGGATCGTCATCATCTTCATCAATCAATTCATCCAAACCATCGAAATTATCAACAATTAATCGATTTCGAATGTTATGTCGTTCGTCGTCAGCTGATGCTGAAACTGCACCAAAACCAGAACAAAAAGCAAAACCATTTATTTTAAAACAAGAATTTAGTTTCCATATATCCACATCCACCAGTACATCTTCCAAAGATTTTCAAACATACTGGAACGAAAATAAAACTCGTCTTCCAATTTTAGCATCTTATGCACGTCGATATAATTGTGCACCATCAACATCAGCTGCTTCTGAATCAGCTTTTTCAGTTGCAGGTTATGTTGACAGAAAACAACGAGCATCATTATCAACAACCACCTTACGATATCTGATGCTATTAAAACAATAAAATGATCTATAAGAACATATACATTTAAAAGACTGTTTATTTTTTTTCTTATATTCGTGATAGTTAACGGTTTATTGGTGAATAAAAAAAATTGTATTAATAAACTAGCAAAAAGAAAAAGTTGTTTCGTAAAACATAACACCATTTTGTTTCATATTTGTTCGAAAACAAAAATGTTATTAATCAAAACAGAGAATAATAAAAAGACTTTTTCCATCACATCCTGTAAACATACGAACGCAGTGATATCTATATGATCTGTATTGTTTTTTTTCACCCAAGGTAAGCAACAATATATGATACGTATTTTAAAAGTCTTAAAGAACATCACAAACGGATATTAGTATAAGAGTCAGTCTCACGAGGGAACCGTTCCAACTGATAAATCGCTTTTTTAATGAAAGCTGGTGGGTTATAGGTTATCGAATATGCTGATTCCGAATATGAGTATGAGGAGTGCCCTTAGGCCTTCATATGGTGGGTTTCTGGAAAACCAGGTCTCCAGAAAAATAACTTTAAGCCAAATTTTTCTTTTTGACCTGCTCAGATTATAGAGCACACCGAGTTGTCTATAAATCAATAATTGTTCCTGTTTTGCAAGGATAGTCTTGAATAAACAACATTAAACTTTCCTCTTTGTACAGTGAAATGCTAGTAATATGCATCTACTATATGAATTCAATTGACTGTATTTCATCGGAAAATCTATTTGAAACAAAAGAAAATATCGATTAATAGACAACTTGATGTGCTCTATAATCTGAGCAGGTGTAAAACAAAAATTTGGTTTAAAGTTAGTTTTCTGGAGACCTGGTTTTCCAGAAAACCACCATATAAAGGCCTAAGGGCACTCCTCATACTCATATTCGGAATCAGCATATTCGATAACCTATAACCCACCAGCTTTCATTAAAAAAGCGATTTATCAGTTGGAACGGTTCCCTCGTCAGAAGAATCGTATCGATAGCAAATAATAATTTCATTAATCATTCACCCATTCTAAAAGTATGATTACGATAATAACCTTTTTTCTGGCACATTTACTAATTTTGTATTACGACTTGTTTTAGACAAAAAATATTCCCACAGTAGAAAATATTTTTTAATTGACATCATTTGTTGTTAATAACAGTGATTTACTTATTTGGGTGTAATTTACAAAAGTCATTCTTTATTCTTTATTTTAACTTTATTTTTAAAAATAAAGATTATCTTTATCTTTATTTTATAAATATAAAGATTTACTTTATCTTTATTTTTTAAAAAATAAAGATTTCTTTATTTCTTTATCTTTATTTTTTAAAATAAAGATTATCTTTATTCTTTATAAAATAAAGATAAAGATTCTCTTTACTTTATTCTTTATTATAAGGAAACATAAAAATAAAGTAACACCCCTAATAATAATATTATCTTTTTCTAATGTCCTTATAAAGCGTAAAATAAACAATATAGTCACCGGGCGAAACTTTTTTCATCGACTAATTACATTCAGCAACAAAACCAATACGAAAATATACATTGTCAGAGACAGCTATGAAATATGTACAACATAAAAACAAACAAACAATACTGTATCTAATGAATGACCCATCCATGTCGCCGAAAACACACAATCGGAGTCAGCAAACACACACATGATTTACAAACACAGAGCTAAACATTCCACGACCCACCGCAAAAAAACACCATCAAACCTAAACCATCTGTCAAACAACCACATCCCTTTTGCTCACTTCGAAGCAAAGGTTGCGACTCGCTCACCTGATCGAACATCATGTGGCAAAGGAACATTCATCATCAGACTTCTGTTCACTTCTTTTTTGTATTTCGTAGGAATGTTGGCGACGGGTGCACGCTCTGATTAGTATGTAGGAACTAGTAGCAGTAGTTATGTGCTGAGGTGACTTTATATAGTGTGTGATTGTTTTCGTGTGGTGTTATGGATTTTTGTTGCAAGTCGAAATAATACTTGGGTGTGTTCATGTTTTGATTATACATACTTGGTAGTGATCTAGTGGATGTAGAGTAGTGCAGTGGTTGCATGTTGGTAAGTGGGAATGGTGGAATTGAATTGATGTTTCTAAATATGAATGGTTAAATGATGGAGCCATGTGTAGTACTGTACTAGTGCTTTTGGAAGGTAGTGTTTAGTGAATGAGTGTTAATGCGTAGTCATGTAGAAATTTTGAAGATAGTTTTAGCGATGTGTGTTGTCGTTTTGTGATGTATGGGTGGGTGTATTGGATTTGGATGATAATGGTTTGTAAGTTATCTGTAGATTAGTAGATGATGTAGATGGAGGTGTTGTGATTTGAAAGAAGCGTACTTGTGTAATTGTAGGATGCTGATTGATATGGGAAATAGGAAAGATGTGCATGGAATTGCTGAGAAATGTGAGAAGTAGAGTAGTAGTGAATGTAGCTGGGAAGTGATTTGATTAGTTTTTGGATTTAGTCTGAGAGCCCACTCAAATTTTTGTAGTTTTCAGTGTGGCATTGTAGTCCACAAATTAAGTAAGTGAATCTTGGTGTTTTTTCGACTCGACTTTTGTGTAGTTACATAATCGGTTCAGTAATGTTCGCTTAGAAGTTGTGATAGAATCAATTGTAGCGAAAAATCGTCCGAGTTCTTAAATTAAGAGGAGATTTTTTTTCGTTTTTGACTCTTTCACCTAAGGCGTGAGAGCTGATCTTTGCTCAATTGAATATGTTTATTGTTTAACAATGAATGAGTCGATTGTGCACGAATATTTCCGATGAACAGTAATGGGCACTTTAAAATAAGAATTTCATGCGCAGAGTTCGATCGTATCGAAAAGATTTTGGGCATTGAAAGTTACTTATATAGTTTATATGCTGTAAAATTCGTCGGCGTTTTTCGGATGGACGACACTGTCATTAGTTACGGCTTGATCAATTTAGCTTTGCTCATGAAAGTATTACTACCATTGCCATGTTCCTCTGCCTTGAGGTTTTAATGTATCACTTTCATCATTCACTGTATGAAGTCAATCGTTATTTATTGGCTTCGTGTATATGATTTATGTTAGGTAATTATGTTCAAGTATTATTTAGGTGTAAGTGTTTCAAGTTGATGCAATAATACCAGCATCATATTAGGTTAAAGCGATCAAAATAATTTGTGAGGATGTAGCCATGCATAGTAGTACGAAAGATACTGAGACTTACCCGGTAGTACACAGAAGTATCAAGAAGCAGGAAAATATGCTTTTTTTCCTGTGAGCCACCCTTGCATAGAGGAAAATCGTATTGGGTTATAAGGCATGCTTTTCTGTTTTTGAAGCTTTCGAAATATCGATGTAGATATGGAAAATTTCATCATATTTTTCGATTTAAGTCGTTGTGGCATACTCGAATGACAATATGTAGTCTGCAACAGGTTTTTGGAAATATTGGACGATATCAATATGGTTGTTGTACGTTTGGTGTTGAAAATATCAGTTATTTGGAAATTCTTCAGTAGATGAGTATAATTATGAAAATTTGATTATTTCATGGGATTGAAGTTGTTGGGAATTTTTCAAATCGAAAATAGGAGCTTTGAAACTGCCTGTTCAGTAAATACGGGACTATATTAGTCAAATTTTGATCTTTAAAGAGTTTGGTTTTGAACAATTAGATCGAGATTTCATGCTGTTTATC